CAGTTTATTACTACAAGCTATATTCTAATATATGGTATGTTATCAGAACAAGCTATATTGCCTTTAGCTCAACAGTTCCTTTGACAGTGCATGAACCACAGATGTTCTTTGTCAAGGCTGTAAATGTGTCTCAAGCAAAGAAAACAGGACACATTTTATAATGTAATGTCCTCTTCCTTTAGAGTGCCAACTCTCACCTAGAGTGGGAAGGGTTTTCTCACAGCCCACGAGAACGGAAACAGCTGTTGGTTCTAGGAAGTTCATCTTTTAAATGCTTAAACTTAAATCATACAGCTGAATAGAAAATAACTTTCCACACTTGCAAGAGAAATGTCCTCACTTGAAGGCTGTTGGAAATACAGAATGAGAAAAAACTGCATTACTTATCCCCAGATATTTTCCTTTCTATAAAACTGAATAGTGGTATTGGATGAATTCCCACAAAGCATCTTAAGGGCTAAGGAAGGATTATGCTAAAGGCTAAACCCTGAGACAGGTTTATGTACCCTGCGTTGCACTTTCCTTGGGCTTAACATCTTTCAGCCTATCTATAGAGGATGCTGGAGGGCAGAGTTGCTGTTGGGAAACAGAACTAAGCAACTTAGTTGAATTCATATTTCAGGCAAGGTTTTTCCTTCAGTGAGACATTTCAGAAGGAGCTACCGGCTGGGGCAGTCACTGATCACCCAAGAAGCTGCTACAACAGAAGGGTAGAGGCTGTGGAGGTCCTCACTCGGGCAGTGGGTGCCGAAACCAGGCTGTAGAGAGGACGTAAGTACACGCATCTTACAGGTCTACCTATTGAGCCATCCAAACTAGCTATGCTTAGCAAAATGTTACCCGCAAAAACCAAAAGGACATTTTATCAAGGAAATTGACTAATTTTATAAACTTCCTTGGGTCTGTAGTAGCAGCGTGGTAGCTTATAAGCAATGATTTAACTGACGTTGCCAAAAAGTAAAGGCTCTATTCCATTTCTGCCAGATAAACACTGCCTGGCTTTGCTTGGTTAACTGAAAGCAGCGTGGAAGGGAGTGCTTCTATAGATCAGTTTAAAACTGACTTTTAAGCTTAAGCATTTTATCATCTTCAATTAGATAATCTCTTTATGATACTGCTATTCATTTACTATCCATTTTGTTCTGTTAGCATGCATTAGGTATAATAACAAGTTTCTTTATGGCATTTCCACACCTGTAATGCACTTTGAGAACATTCACCCCATCTCCCTTGCTCATTCCCACTCCTGTGAACCCTTTTCCCCAAACAATGCCCATTCTGCTTCTGTGTCTTTTGTGTGTGAGAGAGAGACAAAGGGTTAAATTAGGGTGTGTACAGAAGCATGGATGAGGGGCTATTTGCAGGAGTGCAGGCACCTTACCAGAGGCTATAATGCTGAAGAAAATGTCTTTACCTCTCCCACTCTCATTGATTTCTTATAGGTACTTGGGGAGGGTACTTTGTGTCATTGAGATAGTGTTGTGCTATATGTTCTAGAATAGTCTTGAACTCATGATCCTCCTGCCTCTGCCCTAGGTTAGGGTTTTCAGGCATGTGCTGCCACACCCAGCTTTATACTGTTTCAATGACCCCCATTACTATAGTTAATTACATTTTTAGTGTTACGTTGTGGGAAGCATAAACTATCAGATTAGAAATTTTCAGAGAAAAATACTATGGAGCAATCAATGATAACTATGAAAAAAATCTATGTTGCTACTTTTAAATCAATTCTTTAACTGAAATACCTAATATTCATGAGTGTGCCTGGAGTTTGACATTTCAAGAAGGCAAGGATGTTTCTAATGTCAAAGAGCTTTCTAGAAGCCAAAGCAAAGGGCAGCGTGTGTGCAGCCATCTGTCTTCCACAACACTCCCCAGGGTATGTGAGGTGCGATGCATCTGGGAAAGCGCCAGAGCGTATGCTCAGCCAAGGGGAAGTTCATCTAAGAACCGTGCTGAGTGCGTCAGTGATAGTTGTTTTTGTTGGTGGTGCCACTCATTATTATCATAACTTTTCCTTTCTTTATTCTGCCAGAACGCCAAAGGAAAGATGTATTGTTATTTAGGACCCCATTTAAATCTAGTTGTTTTTTAAAGTTAGAGATACAATTCAAGTGAGTGGGAAATACATATCCCGGGGCTTGGGGGTGGCTGTCAGCAAACTGTGGTGCTTAAGCTTGAGGACCTAAGTTTCGACCTCTGGAACCCATGTAAAAACCATGTAGTGGTACATCCCTGCAACCCCAGCACTAGTGAGAAAGACGTAAGGATCCCGGAAGTTCATTGATTAGCCATGTTGGCTTCAATGAAAGACCTTGTCTCAAAAAAAAAAAAAAAAAAGAAAGAAAGAAAGAAAGCTGGAGAGCAATAAAACAACACCCAGAGCATGCACACACACACACACTCACTCACACTCACTCACACACTCACACTCACACACACACTCACACACACACTCACACACACGCACACACACTCACAAACTCACACACACTCACACTCACACACGCACACTCACACACACTCACACACTCACACACACTCACACGCACTCACACACACACTCACACTCACACACACACACACACTCAGATCCAGGATGTGGTAACTCAAACCTCAAAGTTTAATGAACATGTACAGTTCAGCCAATGGAAGACAAGTACAATCAGACTGTGCCTGGAAACTGTGTACCGGGCAACCATTCACTAAAAATCTGCTGATTTAGCAAGGGTTCAGTTCCCAGAGTGCATGTCATACTACTGCTGCCCTGATGAGTTGAGACAGAATTAGCACTAGCTAAGTCGTCTGTGTGCCTTGGGAGGGGTTTGAGGAGGGTAAGAGTCTGAAGGCAGAGATTAAGGCATCTTCATCCTGCTAATGTGCTGGCCATCCAGGATTAGAGCCCTGGGTCAGGGAAATCCACCCAAGTGCAGACCTCAGCACGACACACTTAGCCTGGAGATTGCCAGACATGCTCTCCACTACAGCAGGGCTACCCGGTTCATAGTCTGTCAAGACGTGTGCAAAATAAAAGATGTTCCCCCTAAAATACAAAAGTTAACACTTAAAAGCTCATGGGTTGACCACCGAGTTTAGCACACACACACCCTCAAGTGGTTTTGGGGACAACATGGATTTGGACTTTCCAATATCTACCTGGGGGATAAAGGGAACGTTCTGGTCAGACTCAGAACTTGAATATGTTCTGGCTATATTTGCTTTACAATATCATTTGATTTGGGGCAGTGCAAATAGTCTGTAAGGTACTGTAATGGTGATTACATGCCATTATACATTTGCCAACCCACAGAACACAAACCAAGAATGAACGCTGATGTAAATAAAGTATGGCCCTTGTCTGTTCACTGATTGTCAAGAAATGCATTCTCCACTCAATTTCTTGTGCACATAAAATTGTATAGAAAACCAAATATGCACATATAGTTACCAGTGTGAGGGATGCACATGGTATGAAGGATATGAGAGAAGATGATGCTTTTGGGTTATTATTATTATGTATACCTGATGCATGGGAGTGCGGGCATGCGTATTACAACACACATGTGGGCATTAGCAGAAAACCTTAGGGAGCCAGTTACAGAAATACAGTAGAAATATCAAGAATTTTAAAATTAGGCAAATGAAGCTGGGGTGGATCTGGGAGAGAGGAGAGCTGGGCGGAGTTGGAAGGAGTGGAGGGAGGGGAAACTGACTGAGATATATTGTATGAGAGAAGAATCTATTTTTGGTTAAATAAATAAATAAACAAACAAACAAACAAATGGCCAAAGCCAGTCCTGAGTGACCCATGTACTTGAATTTCCCATCTGATCAGATGGCAAACATTTTTAGTTTTCAGACCATACAAATGAACTTACAGCCATTTTAAAAATCAAACCAAATGGTACACAAGGAAGAAAAAGATCTCTCCATGAAAACCAGAGTATTTCCTACTCTTCTTTTTCTTGCCATGATGGGGATTGGATCCAGGGCCTCATGCATGCTGGGGAAATCCTTTTTTTTTTCTCAGATTTTTAAGATGATGATTGAGAATGGAAGAGAACCTAAAAATGACCTATTTAACTAGTACTGTTTAATATTTTGAATTATTCCAAGGATACTAACAGTTAATGAGCTAGAAGGCAGACAGCCTCCCTTTAACAACAGTTTGTCTCTAATTACTTTGCATTGAAGGTAATATATGGAGTCACGCATTCATATTCACATCAATATAATTTGGTCCCTCATTCTAGTTAAAGCATCTCAGGCAATCAGCCTATACCCACCCTAATTAGATATCATTTTAGCCATTGAGGGCCTTGCTCTTCATTTTCTGTTTTAATCTTATCAACTATATAAGAATATTTTTCCAAAGGCTAAACATATGGAAGGGCTTGCATGTTTCCACCTCTGGAAATAGTAAGGATGTAAATAACTTGAAAGGAGAGAGCTGGTATCCCTGGAATCTTACAGGGCTGGTTCAGTGTTATTACTGCTTGTGATGTGGCAGGGCACTGCCCTGTGGACTGTAACAAATTCCAGGGCGACTTTATAAAGTGAGTTCTTCAGATAATATCAGCCACTTCCTTTGGGGGAGTTTCTGTATAGTTGAAAGCTTGGTGCAGGGAATCTTCGCAAGCGCTGTGGGAGTGCAAAGAAGTTGCCTTTATGTTTAAGAAAAATTCAAGTAATTCATGAAAGTACAGGCATGAGGACCGGAGTTCTATGCTGAGAACCCATTTCATAAACAAAGCAAATGAATAAACAAAAGCAGGTGTAGCAGTGTGCAATCGTGATTCGGCTCTGGGAGAGTCAAATAGGAAGGTCCCTAGGGATGACTGGCTAGGAGCAGGTCCCCAAAACACAAGGTGGACAGCCTCCACACACTTTGCTTGAATGGGTGCACACACACATACACACAAAGGAAACTATTTTTCAGTAGGTATTTGTTAACGTACCTGTTTCTTTTTAGAACTCCGACAGAGTCAAGAAATCTGATGGCAAACCCAGTGATGTCTGTGAACCCTCTATTGACAGCATCAGGACATCAGAGGATCCCACTGGTTCCCCCGCCATTTGGGCCTCCAATTGTGGACAGGTATTTCTTTCCAATGTAGTAGTTCAATCCGAAGAGAAAACAAACCATTGTTAGAGTTTGGAATGGTGTTAACATTAGCTGATAAAACATTGGGGTCATCTCAGTGAACTGTGCCATGACTCATGGCACTCTGCTGGTCTTACCTTCAAAACTTAAGGCTCTACTTTCCCTTTGAAGCTTTGTTTGACCCATTAGCTGATTAAATAACCACATTTACTCGGAACACGACTGGCAATATCAAGTGTAAATCTGCTAGATTAGTCTTCTGAGGCCACCACAGTAAAGCACAGAAGACAACATGGTTGTTACAAATGTTCAGGGCTGGAGAGATGGCTCGGTGGTCAACAGCACTGGCTGCTCTTTCCAAAGGATGGGATTCAGTTCCCAGCACTCACATGGCAGTTCCCAATCTGTAACTGCAGCCCCAAGGGATGCAGCACCCTTTTCTGGCCTTCCCGACACTACACACACATGGTGCACAGGCATACATCAGACAGAACATCCATACACATATTGTTTCTGGTTGTGATCCCAGCCTTTAACAGCTGAGCCATCTCTCCAGCCCCCCCCATATTTTTTAAAGTAAAGAATAAAAAGGTCTCCATTTCTCAAAACTACAAGCCCAAAAATCACATTTCTGTCCAGTTAGTTCCTGGTGAATCCTACTTCCTGGCTTATAGATGCCAACTCCTCACTGTGTCCTCACATGACCGTCCTCCGTGTGTATACGCAGGGTGCCCTCCACAATCCACTCCTCTCCTTAAGAGGACCAATCCTATCAGATTAAGGTTCCATCCTAAGTCTGTAACATGTGGATCCCCTAGACTGCTTGTCACCAAATCATTCTTTCAATAGCAGGGAAAATGTAAGTATTTTGGTTGTACATTCTGGCAATATTCTAGCTTCATTTCTTTGGAATATTTTGACATTCTGAAGAGAAAATAAAACCCAGCATTTGTCCTTGTTCATGGAATGAGAGGTGGCCAAACTTTTATCCTAGATGGCAAATGCCACCAAGAGACCATTAAATAGGAACAAACTGTGTGTTCAGAGCAAAATGCCCCTTGTGAATATCCCAACCACGGCACTGACTTGAGTGGGCCTTTCCCCAAGACAGCCCTAAGCTATCTTGCTTGCTATGACCCTTCCTCCTCATCTTTCTTGTCATACTTCTCCATTACCACAGAAACTTCAGAGCATTTGAACTTTAGTCTCACCGAGTCCCAAGCAGTTATTTAAAAATCCAGTACCGCCAGGTGCTGGTGGCACACACCTTTAATCCCAGCACTCTCGAGGCAGAGGCAGGTGGATCTCTGTGAGTTTGAGGCCAGCCTGGTCTACAGATCGAGGCCAGCCTGGTCTACAGATCAAGCTCCAGGACAGCCTACAAAAACAATACAGAGAAACCCTGTTTCGGAAAAAAAAAAGAAGGAAGGAAGGAAGGAAGGAAGGAAGGAAGGAAGGAAGGAAGAAAATCCAATACCAACATGAATTACTTTTGTGTGACTGTGACCACACTACCTGATTTTGGCTCACACTTTCAGAGGGTTCTGTCTGTCACAGCACGGGAAGCATACCACAGCTGAATAATCATGCTGGATCAGAAAAGGGAGGACACTCACTTCTGCTCACTTTCTCCTTTGATTTCAACAGATTCCCACCACATCCCAGCCCTCAACAACCCTCTTGAAATGCCTTAGTGAGCCTGTTAAGAAGTGTGCCTCAATTTTCTAGACGTTTCTAAATTCAATTAACTTAACAATGAACTTAGATCATCATACTGAGCATTAGAAATTTTGTATAATTCAGCCGGGCAGTGGTGGCACACGCCTTTAATCCCAGCACTCGGGAGGCAGAGGCGGATCTCTGTGAGTTCGAGACCAGGCTGGACCGACAGCCTCCAAAACAATACAGAGAAACCCTGTCTTGTAAAAACCAAAACAAAAAACAAAAAAAAAAAGAAATTTTGTATAATTCCAGCCATATCCTACCTATTTCATGTCTTTTTTTTCCCTCCTAGAGATGTCTTGCCTTCCAGTATAGCTCCAACTGACCCAAGCCAGTTTTGTATACCTTCCCAACTTGGATCCTCTGTTGTCCCAAATGCAAACATGCCAAACCCACTGTCGAGTCTCTTCTACTCAGGTACGAGCCATGAGTGTGTGCCACCAGTGTGTGGAGCCGTGTGAACGACAGCTGTTTGAGCGTGCAACTTGTGCCCTTGCTTTCTGAGTTGAGCTTGTGGTGGTACCACTGTGTGAGCAAGATTGAGTTGCTTAACCCATCTGGGCACCAATTTAATCACAAATGAGGGCAGACGTGCAGCATTACCATTTGTCTTATCTTTCATGTGAAGAACTGAGGGGTTTCAAAAAGAATTATCAGAGACTTAACTGCTTCGGGCAGCTTATGACTTGAGCTGAGCGTAGAGTATGGCTCTGTGGTAGAACACCTGGTTAGCATGCATGAGGACCTGAATTCAGTTCTCAGCACCCCCAAACCAAACTAATTAAATAGCATACATTCTCATAAGCCATCACGAGAATTTAGTTTTTATTCTGATTTCATTCTGGAGATGTTTAATATAGGATAGTAGTTAGAATTTATAATAATGTGTTATATAGTTAAAAATTGCTGATGGGATTTCAAATGTCTCCACCACAAAATAATAAGGTTATGAGATAGTAGATGTGTTATTATCTTGATTTAACCATTCTTCTGGTATAAGCATTTACCAAAACATCACATTGTACCTTAGAAATATATATATATATATAAACAGGACAAGAAAAGATACACCAAGGAGGCATAGGCCATCTTCTGCCATGTGAAGTATGACAGGAAAATGCCACCAGTCACGAGACTGACAATTCAAGAACTGAAATGTTATCTGCTGTTGATTGGGTGGTGTTTATCAGGTTCTAGCCAAACAGTGTAAGATCTGATACCATTTCCTTCGTTCCAGTCAAGCTGAGGAGTTTCTGACGATTCTGTTTTGAATTTTTTTATTATTTTCAAGTGCATGCTTCTAATTTGTTTGTGGGCTGGGGTGGTTCTCTCTCTTTCTCCCTCCCCTCTCCCTCCCGCTAGGCTGGGGTGTTTTACCACCTGAACCCATAAAGGCAGTGACCACAAGGAATGAAATGCTAGAAAGGCATCACGCTGCCAGGTAACTTCATAATATTGTTACGTTTGTCTCCTGCTCAATCCCAGGACTATTTGTTCATCTGAGTTGTTTTTAAGTAAATTAAATAAATACTTACAAACACAATAGAAGTACATAGGTGACACGATAAAGAACACATGCCATCTATACAAACATGTTCTAGTTATTTACAGAAAGAACTTCAGGTACCTTATAGAATAAATTATGCAAGCTTTTCAATAATAAAAAGAAGCAGACAGCAGGGTCTGGGGATTAAAAAGGTGAGTGAGAATGTTTGCTATCCAAGCATGGAGCCTTGAGGTAAGATCCTTGGTATCCAAGAACAAAGCTGGGTGTGACCTCATGTGTTTTCAGTCCCAGGGTAGAGGCAGGGGTCAGAGATAGAGGGTCCGATGTCCAGCCAGTCTAGCCAAAAAGTGGTGAGCTTCGGTCTGAGTAAAAGACGGATCTCAAGGGAGCAGGCTAGTGAGCTAGGAGGGCATAGGATAGGAGGGCACCTGAAGTCCTCCTGCAGTCTCTGCATGGGTGTGCATGCGTCTGCACGCGTGTGCACACTTGCGCTCTGGCACACAGCACACCTAACACAGGCACATACTGCCCCACGCACACTCCACAAAGTGGAGCTAACGGTAGATGGGTCTGCACATTCAATAGCCTTCTGTTGACCCACAATTCAAAATCCTGGCTGTGAATACTCTGAAATCGCCACGTCATTTCTGTCTTAAATGGCTTCATTCCTGAGGACAGGAGTAAAGCTCACCAACTCCTCTTCAGAGTGTCACCAGAACCCAGGAAATCTCACGTTAACCCTACAATGGTCTTCATCTACACTGGCCAGCAGCAAATAGAGTGCATCTATAAGGAACAGGATTTGGCCTCAGGGAGAGGCAAGGGTGCAGGTGATCACCCGGAATGGGTAAAGTGAAGTGAGCAGAAGCAGGCCTCCCTTCCTTGCCTGCCCCCCCGCCCCCCGCCCCCCCTCCCCGTGCAGTGACTTAGACCCATGAGGACAAGCACTAATTGCTTGAGTTCCATTATCACTGTGCTGCGGAATTAAACACCTTTATGGAGTTTAGTGTCTGGCAAGTAACTACCGCTGCTACCTCACCCGCTCACCTGATAAGGCTCTGTGCATAACAGGCAGCCCCACAGTTGGAGCTCAGGCTTGCATTGTGACTCTCATACATACAAACTGCCCACTTTCAGGCCTCCTGGGAATCCCACACTCCCTCTGCCTTTGAGGGGATTCCTGTCTCCATCAAACAGACAAACACTGATGCACAGGAATAGTAAAAGGGTGAGCTTAGGGAAGGCAAGGGTCTGTTAAAATTACATTTCTGGAGCCCTGGGACGGCTCAGCAAATCAAGGTGCTTGCGGCCAAGCCTGACCATCTAAGAAGTTTGATCCCAGCACACACAGTGGAAGGAGAGAGCCAACTCCCTCACATTGACCTCTGACCTACACGATGGCATGCATGCACCCACCCCTCCACGCTCAAAATAAATCAAAATGTAAAAAGTTAGATTCCTAATGACTGCCTGGGGTCGTGTAAACTATATAATCTTGTTTTTAGGGCAGAAATGGAAATGTATTCTCTTTACCAGCAGAGGAGGATGGAAAGAGTGAATCCCAAGGGGCTGGCTGGTCTGGGGATGCCACTCTTTTATGGGTCTAGTTGCCTGGGTGGCCCTGCAGGCTTCCAAGGCAGGAGCACACTGCCTGCCAGTGATCTGCATTTGCACAGAAGCACACTGCGACACCTTCAGGGAAACCCTATTCTGCTGGCAGCCAGACCACGCTTCTCTGAATGCTGGGGCCAGAAATACCGACTCAGAAGAGGTTTGGTTTATCAGAAACCTCTGGAGAGCGACACTGGGAGTTTCACAAGTCAAATAGAAGAAAAAAGCTCAGGCCAGATGCCTATGGCTCCCTATGAAGAGGAAGAGGGTACCAAAGAACCGGAAGTCGAGGTAGACAACAGCCAGGAAAATGATGAAAACCCGACCCCGGGCCTCACCAACCCCTGCGGCGAGCTCCAGCCGAGCCAGGAAAAGGCATGGGATGGCAGGAAGGACGAATCCTCTGAACAGGGCTGTGAAGGCTGCGACGAGAAGAATGGAGTTGGCCTGCCAGTGTCCATACTGCCTCTGCCAGGTAGGTGCTCGGGGTCCAGGGCAGGTCCTCAGCAGCTCCAGGGTGACCAGGTCTTCCCACTGTGGAGGGAACTGCTACAGCCATGCCTATTGTGGCCTCCAATGTCACGTGCAGACCCTCTGTCTATCTCTCCCTCACCTCCATTTTTAAAAAGATGCACTTTTATTTTTATTGTCTGTGTGTTTTTATTTTATTTTATTGTCAGGGTGCTTTACAGGCATGTGTATATGTGCACCATGTGAGTGCCGTGTTTACAGAGACCAGAAAAGAGCATTGGATCCTCTGAAATTGGACCCAGCTACAGGTGATGTGAGCTGCCTGGCATGCAAACCCGGGTCCTCAGCAAGAGCAGCCGGGATTCTGAGCTGCTGAGCCATCTCTCCAGCCCCTTCCAGCTCTATTTTCTTAATCTTGCTTTAAATGACTTGAAGTCACTTTGTTATACCACTTCTCACAAGTCATATTAGAAACACCAGTCTTGCTATTGCTGTTTAAAAACCAGTCTGAGAGGATGCATATGAGAAAGTATAAAGATTGTTAATTAAAATTTTAATTTAATAGTGAATTTATTTAAGACAAACTAGAGGGTTTTTTGTTGCTTGGGGAGATTTAGGGTTTTTGTTTTGCTTTGCTTTTTTTGTTAAATTTTTGATTTATGTTCATTGGTGTTTTGCCTGCATGTATGTCTGTATGAGGGTGTCAAATTCCCTGGAACTGGAGTTAAAGACAGTGGTGAGCTGCCATGTGGGTGCTGAGAATTGAATCTGGGTCCTCTGGAAGAGCAGCTAAGGCTCTTAGCTGCTGAGCCGCTGTATCCAAGTATAGAAAAACTGACAAAAGTATAAACGATCAGTTTTGAAAGTAATGTACTACGGAGAAAATCTCATATTGGATAGCTCCCTAGAACTTGTTTAGAAAAACAAACAAAACGGAGATTTTGTGTGTCCCTAATTGTTGTAGCTTCCTTTCTGTTGATTCAGTTTGATTAAAAGTAACTTAAGGGAAGAGTCTATTCCAGTTACAGTTCTCAGTCACAGCCGCCACCCAACAAAGTCAAAGTAAGAATTCAAGGCAGGAACTTGAAGGCAGGAGCTCAAGGCAGGTGCCTGCTTCCTGTCCCACACAGCATTACTTCCATGAGGGAATTCGCTTCACAGATAAGAGATGTAGCAGGAACCTTCAAGAATAGTGTCTGCTGTCCCGCAGGAAGGTTTATAATACCTGGCTTTTTTATATGGTTCAAGACCAACTGCCTAGGGGTGGAAATGCCCACATCAATTAACAATCAAGACAATGCCCCCATAGACCCACACATAATCTGATCTAGGCAAACTTATCCCTTGGATAATTTTGGTTGTCAGCTTGACATTAAAATGAATTAGGGCACTGAGGTAGCCGCCACTCCAGCTGCTTCACTATGAAGTTCTGGTCTCATATTCAGGCCATGATGGTCACAGGAGACCAGAGAACATGGTATTGTAGCATAAATATGGAAAATGAAGTTCACAGGGCCTTTCTGCCAGCACCTCAGATATCATAGAGTGAATCTGGAACTTCGTCTACTTTGAGTTATGTCAGTGAAGAGACTTTAAGAGAGGGGAAATAAACCACCTGTGAGTGGGACTAAATATCTTCAGGGAGTTCAAAACATGGCCCATGTGAACAGAGCACCCTGTGGTGACAGACGTTAGTGAGTTCATAGAGCTAAATGCAAATCCGTGTTCTAAGCATCTCCTTCTGAATAGAAATTTCATATCACATAATAATTTTCTTTTCATGTTAAAGGAACACATGAGCTGGTTGCACTTAGGGAAAACCATTCTTTGGCTGATATTCAGAAATGGACTGTAGATGATGTTCATAACTTCATCAGAAGTCTTCCAGGCTGTTCAGACTATGCCCAGGTAACTTTGTAGTTTTGCAAAACTATGAAAGCTAGAAACTATTTAATGCACAATGAGTTTTATCAAACTTGCATTTTGCCCCTGGAAGGAATTCCTACAAAAATCCCTACTTTATGACACTGTCTGTCATTGGAGAGGTGTCTGTGACTGGTGGGTACAAATGCCAGAGAAGTCCTGGGAAGCCAGCTTAATTTTCTGTCCTGTCTAGACTTATGAGAGGGTGACTCAGATGCTAAATATCTAGGAAGAATGAGAAATATTTGCTACAGCACCTAGATAACAGAAATATGTGCTTTGTCCTAAAAGACAAAAGGGGCTAGGGAGACAACTCAGTCAGGAGACTGTAATGCAAGTGAAAGGATTTGAGTTCAACCCCCAGAACACACATACACACACACACACACACACACACACACACACACACACACACACACACGCCAGACATGCTGGTGCATGCTTATAACCTTAGCACTGGGACTTGGGGTGGAAACAATGGGTCCTTGGTGCTTGCTGGCCAGCAAGACTAGTCTACTTGGAAAGTTACAGGCCAGTAAGGAACCCTGTCTCAAATAACAGTGTGGGTGTTATCTGAGGAATTACATTCGAGGTTGTCTTCAGGGCCTCATGAGCATGCCCACGCATGAGCACAGACACAGACAAGGGACCAGGAATGATGCATAATCTGTCATCACAGCTCTTGAAAGCCTGGGGCAAGAAGATTATGAATTTGTGGCCATCCTGAGCTGTAGAGTGAGAACCGGCCTCCACAAATGAACAAAACACAAACAGCCTTGCTCCTACAACAGTGTTACATGTATGACAGAAACAGTCTTACTCCTACAACAGTGTTACATGTACCACAGAAACAGCCTTGCTCCTACAACAGTATTACATGTATGCTATGCTTCATATCAGTTGTGCCTTTGTGGGCACACGGAAGTCATATAAACATCAACACCACAAACTTTGCTGGCTCATTGTCACCATTGTCTGTCACCAACACCGTATCAGTAGCCCAAGAAATTGTACCACTTATTTCTGGAAGTCTCTCAAATGTGTGTAGGATGACCACACTTTGGAGTCTTAGCCCTTTGAGCTATTGCATGTGACATCATCTGCAAAACCCAGCCACCCTGCTGAGCACCCACTGCTGCTCTCTGAGAAAGAACTGTGCAGAAACGAGGAGACACCAGTGCATTCTGGGTACACAGCCCGGAAGGACTGTTTCCCACACAGTTCTCACAGGGAACTTGGCCAGAAATGCCTCCTTGACTTTTATTCACAACCTCAGAAGTTTTTGTTGTTGTTTATACCCACCATCCTTCCCTCTATATTCCTCCTCCTTGCCAGCCTTGTGCAAATGGAGTCTTTAAAACGTGTCTAGAGCCAGCCTTGATGGCATATGCCTGGAATCCCTACACTGGGAAGCTGAGGCAGAAGGACTGAGTTCAAAGCTGGCCTCGGCTACGTAGTGGGAACCCCTACCCTTACATCTGAAACAAACAACCTTGAGAAAAATAATTACATGAGAAGTTTATTTATTTATTTTTTCGAGACAGGGTTTCTCTGTATTGTTTTGGAGGCTGTTGGTCCAGCCCGGCCTCGAACTCACAGAGATCCGCCTGCCTCTGCCTCCGGAGTGCTGGGATTAAAGGCGTGCGCCACCACCACCCGGCGAGAAGTTTATTTTTTTAATCACATATACTTTGTCAGTGCTATGCTACTTCATACTTTATTGTAGTTTGTTGTCATAGTCTCTAAGAAAGAAACTTTATCAAAAAACAAAAATAATAAAAGAAAGAGATACAGTGAGAAGATTTGTGACTTAGGGATGACCAGGAAACACTTCAACAGTTTATTCTAAGTAAATATCTAGTTCAATGAGCTTGGCATATAAAATATTCATGTCTCAAAATATCTGAAATTGATAAAAAAAAGTATATGCACATTTATATCATAGACATGACCCAATGTGCATCAACAAGAAGGATACCCCAGGTCCAGCATGCACAAAGCCCTGTGTTCAGTCCTCCATACCATATAAACTCTAGCACACTGGGGCAAGCCTATAACCCCAGCACTGGGAAAGCGGAGGAAAGAGGATCAGAATGCCAGGGTCATCCTTGCTGCATAGCCAGTTTTGTGACCAGACTGGGCTATCTGAGACCCTGTCTCAAAAACAAAACAAACAACAACGGACCCCCCCCCATCAAGAATAGCTATGCAGAAGCTTTCCAAACCTAGGGTAGTCGCTTCACAAAGGACTGACCAAGGTTTCCAAACATGGCTGAAATGGAAGCAACAGAAGCAACTGCAGCCAGAAGAGCATCATGCGTGTGGTACAGCACAGGCACTAGGAAAGCGAGGAGACAGGGCTAGGGGATGAGGAGGAGCAGAATGCAGAACTCTGGAGACAGGAGAATGACCAGGAAGTGACAACATGAGCACAAGAGCATCCAACTGCATTTGATGCATGGGACTCTTGGAAGGAGAGGAGGGGCGGGTGTAGAGGTGGAGTGTGCATTGTCATTCCCATGAGTGTTTAGGGCTGATGGTGGTCCACTTAGGTGTTAATGGAACGGTAAAGAGAGGTTGGAGACTGAAGAAGGATTCCCACTGTGAATGCCTGCCATGGGGGCCAGGGGTGCTGCAGCAAACTCTTACATTAGTTAGGGCAGTGGGAAGGAGCATCAGATTTTAGGTTTATCGTCCATGTTCACAGGGAACTCTACCTACTATTTTCTTCTCCTCTTCTTTCTAAATCAGAAGGTTGTCTGAAAATGAAAGGGAACCCTGTAAGCTGTGATGTCTGAGGAGGGTGGAGAAGACTTAAAGAGAAAGCTCAGAAGAGCACAGAAGGCGTGTGAGGCAGGGAGAAGCTGGACACTGCGTTCAACCACTAGCATGCTTTTTCGCACCCAGTTCCTACCTGCCTGGGTATCTACCCATTAGCAGCTTCCTAGCTCCTGGGAGAAAGGCATCGTGCACTGACTGGAGTCAGAACAGACCCTGCTGGAAAGGCTGGTGGACACAATTACCCAGGCTTTCCTTGCCTCTTTCCACCACACACTTAACCCAGAAGACCACAACGAGGGGCCGTGTTGTCTGTGATGGCTCCTCCCCCATCCCTTTCCTACAACCATTTCCCCATTTACTGATTTACCCAGGGAGTACATTCCCCATGCTGCATCAGGGCTGCACAGTAAATGAGACATAGAGGCTGCCCTCAGATAACTACTCCAGGTTGAAGTGAGTCCAGCAAACAGAACTACAGAGCATCCCAGATATTATCAGACAACATGGCACTGGAGCCCGCAACCAAAGAGAAGTTTCTGTGTCGCAGTGTCACCTTCATGCAGGCTCTCACATGCAAATGCTCCAACACCAAACTGTCTGCACATGAGACACAGGCTGTACTGTAAGATTCAGCAGCCAGGCTAATGATTTTTGTGTTTCTTCAGGTATTTAAGGACCATGCAATTGATGGAGAAACACTGCCCCTTCTCACCGAGCAGCATCTTCGAGGCACCCTGGGGCTGAAGCTAGGGCCAGCACTAAAAATTCAGTCTCAGGTATGGTGACAGCACAGAATTTTGTTTATAGCAACAATGAAAAGCCCAAGAGAAATGGGTCACATCGTGGCATTGTAATATTAATATATAGAACACTTAATTAGTCTCCTTTTTAGCTTTTCCCCCTCTGTAACAGAGAAGTGGGGAGACCTGAAAGCACTTGTCATTTCTAGGTGTGACAGGAGGCAATAAATAGAATTAGCATTGATACAGTATGGAGCATTTTTAAGTGATTCCTTTTCCTTTAGTGAGGATGCTATCTCTCTTGGCATACTTAGAAAGACAGTTCATGGGTCAGTTCTGTTTGGCTTTGATTTTTTGTTCCTTTTGGGGTCCCCATGTGATAGCTTTTCCTCCGTGAAAGCCATCGGAGCAGTCAGATCCCGGGTACCATCTGCCAACCGTGGAAGGCCCTGTTAGTAGCAGTTATCAGTCAAAGAAACAGTCATGAAGTCCATGTCACTGGGAACCAAAGCAGCAGAGTTGGAAGGCTCTGGTCAACACTTGTGGATTCAGAGGGTGACTACACAAGGGTTTGCCATTGAATAAGTTAATAAGGTCTGGGTCTGGGTACCCAAGATGGAAGCTGAGGGCAATCACCATGACAGTGGACACAAGCAAGAGTAAAGAACCACCCCACTGCCAGGACAGAGTCCTAAAGGATAGATCTGAGTTGAGCATGCAAGGGAAAGAGCAGGATTTGCTATATACATAGCAATATATATATATATATATGTATATGTATATATATATATAGAGAGAGACAGAGACAGAGAGAGACAGAGAGAGAGACACAGAGAGAACGAGAAGCAGCTTTGGAGTTTGAATTATGCAGATGTGGCCTGGTTTTCCATCCAGGGCCAAATTTATTGAAGCAAGAGTGATGGAACCACAGTATAGGCACCCAAAGGTTAGCATCCAGGTGTCCACTCCCACAGCAACCCCGTTTGTATCTCACTGGTGGTCAGTTATGTGCTGGCATTATTTGGAGAATTTTGACCCGGTCCAGAAGAAAAGCTGGTTGACTTTTGTTGGAGGTGTGGTAGGGGGAAAAGGAGGGATGAACCCAGAATGAAATTGACACAGTGCAGATGAACCACAGCAGAACCAGAAGAGAAACGGAAATTTGGAGCCACCAGAAACCCAGTTTTCCAGTTGTAAGTATCACATGACTCTGAAAAACAAACAAGGCCTACCACGTAGTAGAAGTGTGACCTCCTTCATCTACATAGATGCTCCATGAAATTACCTCAGCCTCTCTTACCACCCACCATTAATGCAGGGTTAGTTATCAAAAGAGTTAAGACTTAATTACTCTGTAATTATTTTGTCTTCAAAGGTATCTCAGCATGTGGGAAATACGTACTGTAAGAAAATGCCTTCACTTTCCACCCAAGCAAGGCAAGCGTTTGATCACCCAGCAGGCACATTACCTCTTTTGGATATTAATTCCTGGAGTGATGGTTTGAGCATTCCTTGTTCCCAGGATATAATGGTTCCTAAAAGAACTGAGACAGGTAGTATGAGAAATTAAAAACGTTCAGTTTTCTGGAGTTGTAGGTGTTACCAGAAGTGTGTGAGAGCTTCCTGGGGCCCGGTGGAGGACAACGAGGTTGAGACCATACTCCTAACATTGTCTTGGGAGGATCTCACCCAACAGGCTTCCTGCCAAGCTGGAGTGACCCACACACCAAGGTTCCAGAGAATCGTCCCCAGACAAGAAAATGCTAACAGGCATGAGACTGTCTCTGTGAGAATACTCTGGAGAAGTTGAGAGCAGAAACTGAAAAGGAACTCCTTCTCCTCGCTCCTTCCATCGTCCCGTCCTGATGGAGACACAGGCTCTGGTCGGAGTAAGAAGAGAAAGGCAGAGAGAAGCTGCCCACACAGGCCCACCTTATCTCACGACATGCAGAGTCTGAAGGTTAACTTCACCCTACCAGGGTGAGGTTAGGATTTGATGGAGGGGTGGGGAGTTATCTGTATGCAACAGGCTGGAGCTACCAAGACTGGGTCATGATTGAGGCGACTGCATCTGTTCCATATGGAGTCCCACTCTAAAAGGCCACGGAGAAAAATGATAGCAGTTCAATGAGAGGCAGCTAGCTGTCAGGCATAGGAAAAGGTCTTATTTTGAATGCTCTGAATTGTAAACCACGAGAACATATGTCTATTTTTAGAATTCACAGTTCAAGTGAATGAGCCGTAACAGGAAGCCTTTCAGATAGTGCACACCCATTGTTTAGCATGCTTGTCCTTGTGTAACCCTTGTCTTTAGAGTGGGCTGGACCAAAGAGTTCTTCCTAAGGGAGCGGGGATCAGTGCTGTGGCTTCTGTCTGTTTTCTAAGTCAGCTTCCATCTCCAAGCAGCCTGGGTAGGGAGTTCCTTGTGACTAACCTTGACAATGGACACTCAGAAACCTGCCAACAGCCTCATGCCACTCAGGTATGTGAAAGTGCCACAAATCTTGGTTAGGTCGTAAGACCCTGGTCCAGGCTCTCAGCCAAGCCTCTGCTGGTTCCTGACCACAGAACTACCGTCACAGATGTGCTGCTTCCAAATTTAAACTCGCAAATTTAACTTAGTAACACAAAGAGCACGCTACTGAGCCAGCTGATCTGGAAGGTAGAATTCCAAAGCCCTTTCCCCAGAGTCCTGGTTTAGTTCAGTTTCGCAGCCTTTCGTTTTTCCCCCATGACAACATTTTCTTCTGGTATGAAACTATTTAATGACAATTCTGTGTGCATGGGGACATTAGTGTGGGTGCAGACTTCGGAACTAGAAGGGAGTAGAGACATAGAGGAGGGAACAGAGACAGAGGAGTTCGGTCAAGGACCATGCACATGTGTAACAGGAGAGTACAAAGGAGGCTACAGGGAGTGGAGGGCATCTGAGGGGCGAGAAGCTGGGGAAAGGAAGGGGGCAAAAGACCAACAAAAGTGGTCTTTGTTTGGAAATCTCATTATCAAACCCAGTACTTTATATGTTCATTTTTAAAATCCTGTCACACCATCAGATATACTTGCAAATTTTTAGCTTTGCCTCTCTATCCCTTTGCTGAAGTTCAGTCAGAAAGAAGAAAACCCCCGAAATTTCAAATTTTTATCCACTTTAGTCTAGATGGCAGAAAACTAGCGGATAACATGTATTAGGGTTTTGATTAAACGTAACTTGCAAAATATCTCAGTCTCTTTCCCTTTTTAATTCATCCAATCACTCCTCAATGTAAGAACTACCTGGACATACAACTCTCTGTGATTCCCAGGTTTCAGAAGTTACATCAAGTGCCCACTGTGAGATAGCAGATAAGAGATAAAAAACAAATGCTTAATTGATACTCTCACTCGGTAAAGGGACCACTACTTCAATCCACATCTTAAGTTTCTTATTCCTGCTGATGAGTCTGTCGGGCTGGGGATTTGAGCAGATGTGAACCAGTGTTGTTCAGAGGAAAACACTCAGATTTGCCAGTCATAGCCTATACCACAAAAAGCACTGGGCTTAATTTTAGATCCGTGCATTTAAAAAAGGAATCAGAGACAGTAACAGAAGTCTGCCTGGCTCTGGTGCTCTTTATCAGAAAGGCGATTGAAATAATCTGCCTAAAGAAACTCCTCGCTCTCTTTCTAGTGAGAGTCTACTTTATATTTTTAAAAAGTTAAATTATTTATTTTATGTGTATGAGTAATTTGCCTACCTGTACATATGTGCACATAAGCATGGTTAGTGAGCTTGGAGGTCAGAAGAGGGCATCAGATCCCTGGAAGCAGAGTTATGGGTGGTTGTCAACCACCATGTGGGTGCTGGGACCAATCTCCTGTCCTCTACAAAAGCAACAAGAGCTCTTAAACGCTGAGCCACCTCTCCAACCCCTACTGGGTACTATTTAACAAAAAGGATACTTCAGTCACTGGGATGATTTTGAAGGGTGAAAATTTCACTTACATGATTGCATTACTCACTGATCTATTGCTGTGAAGAGAGACACCATGACCAAGGCAACTCTTACAAGCATTCAATTGGGGGCTTGTTTACAGTCCCAGAGGTCCAGTTAGTCCATTTTCATAATGGCAGCAGGCATGGTGCTGGAGAAGTAGCTGAGAGCTCTGCCCCTGGATCCATAAGCAGCAAGAGAAACACAGGGCCTGGCTTGCATTTTGAAGCCTCAAAGCTCACCCTCAGTGCTAATCCTTCTCAAACAGTGCCACTCCCTGACGACTCAAATTCGTGAGCCTATGGGGGTCACTCTTATTTGAACACCACAATCATCATACAGAATTTGTAAAATTGAAATAGTGTATGACATTTTTGTCAGTCTGTGTGCTCAACAAGGTGTGGGAGTGAAGGTCAAAGGGCAGTTTGCAAGAATCTTCTTTCTACCCTGTGAATCTTGGAGATCAAACTCAGAGTGTTCCCCTGATGAGCATCTCACTGGGCAAAATGTTTTTAACTCCTCCTCTGATGCTGCTTAGCTCTTGAGCAAACTCCACTCTCTGTAAGCATAAAATCAAAGCTAAATCACAACTATAGAAAAATCTTTGTTTGAAAATCAACCACAGTAAGGATTACCTAATAAACAGGGTGTTAGTACTTATGGAATGTTTTGCTCAGAGGAATTCAGGAAGTACTCCTAAAAGTGGCAGGGTCTTGCTGTGTAGACTAGTTTGGTTTGAAAGCCACAATCTTTCCTCATCCATAATCCTGCTCCCGAGGAGCCCGAGTTCTGGGGCTACAGGTGCACCCCATAACTTGCAGAGGTAGTTCCTCCATCTGCACCCAGACATTTCACTACAAATGTAAGAACATTTTGTTTAGAGAGAGTTTGGGTCATTCACTTGTCCAGCCTCTTCTCTGGAGGATGAATCCCTCTTTCCACACAAAGACAAAGGTATGTGTCTACTAGCAGCCGTGAGGTGTCACAATGTGGCTGTGAGAAGCTAATTTCACCCGTAAAAAAGATGATTCACATGAACATCACTGGCTGTCATTTTTAACGAGCTTGTAGGCTGTGTGCATACTTTTTAAAAATTACCTTTCTAGTACATTTTGGAATCTTTGGCTCATTCTCCAGTGATTTTTATTTTGATAGTTGGAATTTTTTAAAGCATATTAAACTGATTGCTAAATTTAATTAAATGAGTGTTTTATTCCTAGTGTTAAGAAGATATACTCATCAAACATAATAAAGCAAGAGCTTCAAGCAACTTTTCACTGCTTAAAAAATCTTATTATAGCCTCAGTTTAGATTAGTCCTTCATCCTTGGTATGAGAGCAGGGAGACAAACTACAATGTATACATTTCTATTTGTTGTCAAATTATTTGGGGGAAACATAATTGATACCTTTTTCCAAAACAACTATCAAATTAAGCTAATTGGTCTGGGGATGTAGCTTAGTGGTAGAATACTTTCTTAGCATGCTCAAAACCCTCAACTGTTAGTACTTAAAAATGTTTTGGTAAAATTAATCTAAATATTCTGTAGCAACTACTTGAATGTGTCCTTTTAACACACACACAGTGTTGAAAGTCTCTTGCCAATACTTTCAAAAATAACTGGGAAACCATTAGTATTGTTGGTCTACAAATCATCCATGCAGCAGAGATTTAGGGAGCTAAGATCTGAAGGCAGGTTTAAAGGAGTTCACAATTATTCAGATAAAGAATTAACAGGTATTTATTTGGGGAGCACTCACACAATGATGGTAAATAACCACCCAGGTCTTCCTGCTCCTGGAGATGCAGCCTCAGCCCTCCAGGATGCCATGACCACAACCTAAGAGAGCATGAGCCAGCCCCTCCTCTTCCTTATAAGGGGTCATGTCTACACTGAAGCCATGCCCTATGGTGTGGTCACCACCCCAAGGCTACTGGTAGAACAAGATGCCACTTACATTTCCCCTTTTTCTCTAAATAAGAGAGTTTTAAACCTGATACAAAAATTATACCCAACGATAATATATAAAGTATTGTCCAGGAGAAAGAAAGGTAAAAATATACACAAATTTAGACTTACAACCAGCAAGAGCAACATTAAGCAAGAAATATATACTAAATGTCCAGTCCGAGGGTAATGGCATAAGACAGAGATTACTCCAATGGCTGTCCTATTCTGGAAAGTCTAAGTCTGGTGCCTAATATGCTCTAGCTAAGATAAGAGAGGATATTAGCTGTGACTATCTAGTCTTCAACCTCATCAAAGACTTGAGAAGGAAAATAAATTAGTGGGGAAAGCAGGAAGTACAAGCGGGTGACTTCCAAAAGATGCAAGAAATGACAGAAACAGCAGGCTGCCTGAACAGGCACCCAAGGTCTTGCAGTAATGTTGGGATAACTGATCAGTGCCGCAGGACAAGAATGGAAGAGGGACAAGTGCATTCCACCTTCTCGGAGCTCATGGTCCGGGAGACTCACGTATCAGAGCATTTATTATAAGTAGAAATTTTGTGTGTGTGTGTGTGTGTGTGTAAATCAAATTTAAGGAAAAGAGTACCAGGTAGGCTCAAATCCTTTCTTCATTCATTCCCTCAGCCCCTTCTCAATTGTGTAATAAATAATAAAATGTCCTTAGCAATCTCAGGCACCTCCCTGTGCTCCTTCTGAAATTGCGAGGCTTCTGCACACTTATTTTTCTTTCACAGTTGCAGTACTATATAGAGAAATAGCCTGTTTCACCTCAGAAAGGGTGAGAAACTTACAGAAAAGGTGACAAGGCAGTTGTTAGAAGAGTGTAAAACCCCTTCTTCTAACTTACGTCTTTCCATACCCCAGCCGAAAGCCTGTCTGGGGAGCACGCCTCACACTCTAGCTCCACGGCCACCCTGGAATCCCAGGTCACTGTGGGGACCCTGCTTTGTTCGTGCAGAATCCACCCTTCACTGGGTGATGCTGAGGGTTGTCCACCAAGGACTCACGGGTCTGGGGCAGGGAAAGAAGCCTCCAAGCAAAGCCTTATGTGTAGCAGTTTGTGCTTGGAGCACAAGCTGCCTGGAAAGCCTTTTCTCTTCAGAGTTAGTATCTCCAGCCTGTCAGGAGCCTGACCAGAAGCATCAAGAGAGCTGTGAAAGGACGAAAAGCAATGAAAGAAAGGTAAAACGGGACCCTTGCTGACTGCTGTTCACTTTCACCACCGTGCCAGCAGCAGAGCTAGGCAATTATAGTGCCCACCACCTAAATACACGAGTCTCTTAAACGGATTCCAACCACCACAGGGAAAAAAAGAGCACTGGACACCCTTACCCAGAGTTCATTCTGTTCTCATGTCCCGCCTTGGCTCATGGCGAAGGAGAGGGGGGCTTTTGGTGGTATGCCAGTGGAGAGGAGAACGGTATCAGGTTCACCTTTTCTGGTTGTACCCCAGGACAGCTGGCAGACACTCGGCATTCATTTTGCTTCCTGGTGCCTCCCTTTTTCCAGTCTCATCTTCCTGAGCAATCCTTCTTGCAGATCTCCCGATTTAGGGTTCTAAATTCTCTCCGTATTTCCCTCGCGAGCAAGCACTGTCTAAAGCGCTCTTGCCCAGTGTGATTCTTAGGAGGCGCGCCCATCCCACTCTGTGGGGGGATGTTTATCCCCATCCTCAGGGCCACGATAGTGGACATAGTTTCATTGTGCCTCTGCATTCTAGATTCAGAGGATGCCATGTTGTGGTCTTTACACGGCAGTACGAGACCCATCCTTTCTGTTAGATGGTTCAGCCTTCCTATAGTGCTCATCTCAGTAAGTCTCTTATTTTTGGCCCCATGGTCTAGAGAAATGTATGCAAATGGTCTTAAGGGCATAGGATCTCTTTACTCAAGGGCATGAGCCTCTTCGGACACACTGAAATACACAACCTATGAACTTTTATTTATCACAGGGAATGAAGTGGCCTTTCTTCTGTAACTGTAAATCCAACCTGCTGCTTCTGTTGCCTTACGTTGGTCTTTGGATTTTCCATCTTGTCTTTCTAGGTTTTTCTTCTGTGGAGTTATACTTCTATTTAATCAAGAATCCTTCACAGAGAGTCTGCAAGACAAACTTTACTCTTGTGTTATGAACCGGAAATTTGTTTCTCTCTCGAGATGGACTATGCATCTAGTACTTTGGAACAGTGACTAGAAGTCACCCAGGTTCTCTCTGGACCTTGGAAAATGTGGAAACTGCAGACATCTCTGTCCCTCTCTATGAGCCAGGCTGCTGAT